TATGTTTATAACTCTCTCTTTCTCTCTCATCTAGTCGTAATAAAGTGTAGAAAAAAAATATCGTTATTAAACATTAATTACAAAAAACAATAAGATATAAGTATATAAGATATATCCAATGTTAAATGAACTAAAAAGAAAGATATAATGACAAAATATATTTATAAGTCGACATTAAAATTTTCCCTTTAAATTTGCCTGTCTACCCAATATAGACTACTTTTTAGTAAAAAGATCTTAAGTAACTGACAATCATGTGAAACATAATGTACTTTAAATTACATAATCGATAAACTATAACCAAAAATAAATCATATTTATGTTAGCTTTAAAATATGTACTACTAATTGGTTCTTAATATTATTTGTTGTTGAAAAAAATTCATGTAAGTAAAGTCTGTCTCATAGTACCTTACCACCTTAGTTTTTCCTTGCTTAGACTTTTGTTTTGCTCCTCACCATTGTCTTAAATAAACACGTTTTAAATTTAATGTTTTTCCAAAATCTGGTTAAATTTTACCACATATATATTAACACTGACAAGAAAGTAAATTGTTTAAAGAGGGAAACACCATCACACGATATACGTTGAGACATACTTTAAACAGAATTCATTCATGACGTGATTACTGCAATACGTAATGTACGTTTACGTATTTGCTATTAACTTTTGTACGTTTATAACAAAAAAAAACCTACTGCCGGTAAAGACAATTGTATTCTAAAACATTACTCCAAGTATTTGTTCATTTTTTACAACGTATCACCCCAATGTATCAAGATGACTCAATACCTTAGTATTTTTACGATAATCGATACTGAGTAAGTTCCATGTAAAGTGATGAAATCATAGAATTTAATGACTTTCAATGACGTACAACCAAACAAAAATATTTCACCAACAATTCAAAAAAGGTAAAAGGAAATATTTGACATGATGTTTTTTAAATAGACATAAATATAGTCTTAGATTTCATTTCAACCCAACCTATTTTTTCTATGTACAAGTAATCAGCATCTTTTGTACGTAGTAAAAAATCAGTTTTTGGATAGCATAAAGGTAGATTAAGGGACATTTTGTGAATATTAATTGTTATTCCTTGTACAAGATTGACATTTTTGTAAAATCTGTACAAGCTGATATGCAAATGCTATTAAAAGAACCTAAACATACTCCAGTTGTCAACAGACAAAAATGTCACTGACCTCTAAAAATCATACGAACAAGTTGAATTTTGCTGAGAATGTCAATTTTAGAAACCCAAAAATATGCAAAAAAATCAATTTCCCAAGAATCTGTAATTCTGAACCAAAATGTTTATCAGAACTGAATGGTTAGGGGGAAACGATGAGAGTCAAAGTTATATTAATTTTCAATTGTGGATGGCAACCTGTAGCTTGGTTCCAATAGTAAACGACTGTGGCATTGGTTTTGGGAATAATGCTGAGAGTCAAGAGATATTAACGGTTAAATAAAACAAGCAAGAGGGAAAAATGATGAGCGTCAGTTGCCGCAGAGGACATAACGATGGCAGTCAGTTTATAGCTGTTATTCAACAGTATTATTGACTCTTACCATTAGTTACGTTTCATTGCGTTGTGCGTTCACATTGTGTGTTTTGAGGTTAAATATTTACTTTATTATTTGTTACTATTTGAGTATTGTTTAACTGATATTAGTTTGTGTACTCAAAATTATGGAGTTGGTAAGTAGGGGAAACGGATCAAGTACCGAAAAAGAAGCCAAAGTTAGGTAGACTTTCCGAAGTGAAAAAGAAACTATTTAAACAAAGTCATGAGGCAGGCCCGAACTGTTGTTGTTCTAGGTTAAAGTGCGTCGATGCCATAAAACGATGTTATAGGCAGATAGTCACTAAATTCAATGAGATGGAGGATTATAACGAACAAAACTTTTAGGTGGTCTAATAACAACATCATTGGTGAAACAGCGCAGACCTATAAATAAGGACCCAGATTCCCATACATATTTTTATTCCTATAAAATAAGGTATTTAATAGATAGAAATCTTATAGAAGTACCTGTTTGCTACAAGGTATTAATGTCGATACATGGTATCACAGCTCGAAGAGTGCAAACATTACAGTCAATGCTGGCAAATAAAGGTTGTATTGTGAAAGATGGACGAGGTAAACATAGTAATAGGCCACATGAACTTTCAGAGGAAACTCTTTCTAAGGTTCCTATACATATAAAGTCTCTAAAAAGTCGGCATGACTCAAAAAAGATTTATAAGCCAGAAATTCGGGATATAAAAAAACTTCATAGGCTCAATGAACTTTATCCAAATAATAAAGTTTCTTATGACTCATACCACAGTATGTTTAACACTAAATATATTATAGAGGTTTCGGTTATCCACGTACTGATGCGTGCAGTACATGTGATCAGTTCAAGGCTCGAGAACAAGATCTGCAAAAACAAATTGGTGATAGGCCTAATGAGGAGATATGGAAAAAATTACAGGATGATTTAAAAATATTAACACTTTACAAAATTAACATTTAAGAAAAGCAGAATCTTTTTACGCAACAAAACATTCAGTTAGGAAATCTTCTCCAAAATCTGTAGAAATTGGAAGGCATTTGCATGGATTTTCAGAAAAATCTTTGTATACCCAACATATCAACAAATGATGTATGCAGGCCAAAACAAAAACTTTACATTGTTCAGACTGGCATATTTTCTTGTACACGTATGTGGTCGACTGGACAGTTTGAATATGATATTTGATATGATATATTATAATAAATGTTAACAATCCAGAAATGGTAAATTTTCGAGATACTTTCAATGGATCTTTTGAAAGCGTTCCTCTCGTTAATCAAAATAAAAGTAATGCTTTATCGCAAAGATCTAAGAGAAGAAGGATTTTCTGACTGTTTAAATGGAAAAAATACCTGAACATTCGACCAAAACCTTTGTACAGTGGAAGAATACCTGAAACCCAAACCCAAATACGAGGACTTGCAAGTTTTGAAACAGTTTCTACCTAGAGAATCTCAAGTATTCGACGAGAATTTACCAACAACTGACCTTAACATTGAAGCAATGATGATCCTTATGAGTTTTTGGGTAAGATGAGTGACTATTTTTTTTGTATTCTAAATAACTACCATAATTGATTTAACACGACCAACCATCTTATATTAAATGATTTTTTGTAGAGAATCAGCGTCTACAAGTTTCCAAACAAACAAAACAACAAAATAATACAATAAAACAGGTTTGGAGCAAATTACAAGACTTTTTACATTCGTATTTAAGCTGTTTACATACTTATGTTTATATAATTCTGTTATCTATAAGAAGTTTAATACATACTGACTCCCATCATTCTTGTATTTTTATTTTGTGACTCTCATCGTTATTTCCAATTGCGGTATGTATTAAAGTTTTATTGTACTTAAAATATTACGTGAATACACCTTTTTTGAGCTAAGTTACACTATTAAGCGGTCAGGTGGAATAGTAGTATTAGTATTATACAGTATTTTGTCTTTTCTTTTAGCCCATTTTATAAATGGTTACGTTTCAAACTTTCAATTTGAGTTTTCTCTGTTTCTACTCAGATTAACTCTCATCGTTTTTCCCCTGACCCTTCAACTTTTTGTGTAGAATAAACCGTTCTCTCAAAAACTACTTTTGAGATTATTATATAAGTTACCGTTGATTTTGAATATCAGTTACGCGCGCGGAATCAGCTTTAAATAAAATTTGTTTCAACTCGACGGCAAAAATTCGATATATTTTGATCAGAGTGCCCTATCGACAAAACGCACTTTGATTTTTGTCTTTGGAGGACACTTTGATAAAAAGATATCCAATTTTTTCGGTTGAGTTAATACAAATTTTATTTAGAATTGATTTCGCACTCGTAACTGACATTCAAAATCGCCGATCGCTTCAAACGTTGTTTCTAGGAGAACGGCTCATTCAACACAAAAAGGCTTGAAAACATTTTTTTTTTTTTTGTTCAAAATTGTTTCAGCTACATTCTTTATTTGAAATATTTTTTTCTACTGCGTAAAGATTCTTGTTAAATCTTCTTGGTAAATCTTCTTGGTAAACGCCCCCTCGAAGGCCCCCTTTCCAGGGTTTTAGGGGAATTTAGGGGTCCGGGGATTGGAGTTTGGATTGGATTGGAGTTTGGAATTGGATTTTTTGCTGAGAATTAAAATTCTCAGCAAAAATCAGCTTGTTCGTATGATTTTTAAAGGTCAAATCTCTGACGGCTAGCCTAAACAAGCCACTTTACAATTGTTTGTCAAACATCAATGTGTTTAATATTATTTACATTTAATTTGGTCAATTTTATGACGAATTCTAAGGATAATTTAGTGTCCTCTACTACACATAGTTTTAGAAAACTTCAGTAAGCATAAAATGTTTGAATATAATATTTATAATGAAATCTGAAGTGAATTTCAATGGACCAACAAATTTACAGAAAAAAAAAACTTGAAATAACCCCACGAGTTACGTTAGATCATTTCATAATAGAACATTTAACAGAGAAGTACCCGACTCTACAATAACTTAAAAAGTCAGAATATTGGTAGAATCTGATATGAGTGTAAAAAGATAATGGATCAGAAATATCATGAGGTGTTTATCGCGGGTTTGTACTTAGTTGGACAAAAATTATTTTAGTTAATAAAAAATAAAAAATGCCATCCCTCATCTATTAAAAAAATGGAAAAATTTACTAAATGTAAATCCCGGTGGAACAAAAGCAGAGCAAATAAATCATCGAGTTTTAAAGTAGTGGTTGTAAATAACCAATCGTAACTAATTTAGACGTTTTGGAATACGCGTAATTTTTATAATTCATTGACGTTAATATGGTGTTTGTCTCAATATAATATTTAAAGTACATCTTTTAAAGCTAACTACACTGGTATAATTAAAAAAGCTATTTAAATTTATCTATCACCACGTTTAAAAAATGGAATGATCTAATTGGTATAAACGCTAATACACTAGTTCGCTGCATTGGAATTAACAGTATCAGCAGGTTCTTTCTTAACAGCCGAGTAATCAATAACTTTATGCATTCTCTCGATATGTCTTGTAATGTGCATCTTCTGTTTCGCTTTGTAGGTGCAATAAGGACACTTGAACTGCGGTTCTTTGCCACATTCCCACTTCATGTGGTTGCGTAAGGAACTTTTCAATTTGTACCCTCTTCCGCAAGAGGGACAAAAAACTTTAGGCTCATCTGGACTTTCCGATTTCACTCTCGTTATGCTCAACATTGAATTTTTCATATTTTGTTTCATTAGTAGCATTGGTAAAACTAAATGAGGAGGTATGCCACCGAACTTGTTTGTATTTAGACCTAAAAATAAATACAATTAGTAACAGTATACATTGAGTAGGGAAGAAGGGGAATCGTAAGCTGCACCGAGGCATATTGAAGGTCCCAAACCAATCTAGCACTATATGATTTTTAAATACCATTAAAAGGTATTAGACGAAAAGGGTACGCTAGTTTTTCAGAACATACACTTTATTTTTAGCCAAGCAACGAATGAATTAAAGCATTACCTACATTAATTCACTCATGGGACGGCTATTAAACAACACACAAACCTAGTAATGACTGTCATAAGTCAGTGTGGCATTTTCTTATCATAATACTACTGAATAATGATAAAAGGTCTTTATAGCATAACCAACAAAATATTCTTCACAATAGTCACATTGTTTCTTAAAAAATTTAATATTTTTAAAACTATAATGTATAAAATCATGTTATCATTTTAAATATTATGAGAACAGGAAATTTACCAATAAAACATAATATATGAAATATAGATATAAATTATTTGGCCAAACAATCAGTGACAAAAATGCCACTGATTAATTTTTTATGCAAATAGAATTCACTGGCATTTTACGCAAATAGACTGACTATTCAAAGTACTTATGTATTCAATCCCCAAAATGTACGCCTCTGGTTGTTTAGATCACATAAGTGATAAAAGTACTGAAAAATGTTTTCCGCCAAAAATAATATGAGAAAAAGTTTCATAAATATTTCACAAAAAGTCAATACTGATTTTAACTTACAGTAACTGAATATGTCTTCTAGTCTGAAACAAAAAGAGAACTAATTATCTCATGGCCAAACTTATTCTGTTCTCTTCTTCATTCTTCATAAAGGGCTGTAAAACTACTTTGCGTCCACAGTAGAATATACTGCACGTGTGCACTGGATAATCTAAATGAATTAGCACAAGATGTGCCAGACAATCTTTCACGAGATCTACTGGCAGAAAGAAATCACAGTTTTTAAAGTTATTAAAGCTTACACTGCCAACAAATGTACCTTCTAAGGACCAATTGACAAAAGAACTCGAGGCCAGTGTATGAGTTTGTCAACTTAGTATAGAAGGCACAAGTAGAACAAAATGCCAAATTCTGCTCAGACTAATAAGAGAAAACGATATTGACCTTACCGCTATACAAGAAACACATAAAAAAAAAACAAAGTGCAATTGAGTTCAACGAGGAAAATTCCCAGGCTATGGTCAACTTGGTGCTACCTACGATAGAGTCTACGTTTGTAGCAACCTGTGTACGCACGAAAGTGTACGAATATAAAAAATGCAGCCTTAATTTCCACTTCCACCGAGAACAACATCCACGAGGTAACTGTGGAAATCGGCGATATCACAATATTTATATATTTTATTGTATTGTCAATTTTGTTTATACAAAAATTTGTTTATAAATAAATAAAGTCTTCCTAAAGATGTAGTGAACTTAACCGCAATGGAAATTTTCCTCCAGATCTTTTATCATCTATAATTCCTTTAACCCATATTTTTTTAATACCTTCTCTTTTACTAATGTGTCCAAAGTATCCAATATCCTTTGTTTACTGCGTGTCCAGACACGACGCACCAAATGGTAACTGTCTACATCGTTAAGTTGTTGAATGTTGTCCAATGCGAATGCTGTATCATCTTCCGGATTTGGACCATGTCTTGTTGGGGTAACCCCTGTGAGGATTCATTTCAACGTTTCGCTACATTTACATACAGTTTCTTTAGGAAAAGGTAGACTAAAAGGTAGTCACAATAACTAACTGTTCAACACAAAAGCGACAACCAACTCCTGCGGGTAGATGGGCACATTAATTCAAGTACCCAAAGTATCTAGAACTAAATCGTGAATGTACGTTTCGTTTCTGGATACGTTGAGTACTTATATTACTTAGCAAAACGACGTACATAACATGTCTGAGTACGCTAGTAGCGACCTCTGTTGAAGCAAGAAGAAGTCAGGTGACTTCACTTCAATTCACTACGTTAATTGTAAATCCAACCTACTGGAAACTATTGGACGATATTAGGAATAACCTCTTTTCGACAATACTACAGTTCACCCTTGAAAAATACCATCTATTTTACTCTTTACATAGATAAAAAAACGTTGAAATGAAAGTAGGCGATTGCATTTCTTTTCGATTCGAGCTTTCCATTGTTCTACACAAGTTTCGAAGTATTCATTTTTCATCAGGAACACGTCTGGTAGTTCGAACTGAAATGAGATGCAATCTAATGACCGTTATAGTATCATATCATGATTTATTTCGCTAGCAGCTAACTTTACATGAAGCGACATCCCTTCGATGGCGAATTAGGTCATCTGCAAATCTATTATAATGTCTACGTTCTTTCTTTACGCAAAGGGTGCAAAATATGGTGTTTTTGAAGGGTCAACAGTAAATGTATTGTCGAAATAAGAGGTTATTCCTAACATTGTTCAATAGCTTCCAGTAAGGTTTGATTTGCATTTCACCTAATTCGATATCGAAGAGAATTCTTCGATACCAAACTTCTCTTGTCTCTTCATGTCACAACAATTGTAATAATCAATATATCGCTCTTAGCCGACAGTAACTGAATGGTGCTTCTAGTCTGAAATAAAAAGAGAACTAATAATCTCACGTCCAAACTTAGTCTGCTGCTCGATTCTTCATCTTTCATAAGAATGTAGTGACGTTATGCCATTCGCTTTAATATTGCTGTCCAATCGTATCTTCCATAAGCATGTCGTTTAGCTTCGAAGAATGAATAACTAGATTTGTTGTTTATTTTGTGTGACCACCTTGATACAAACTTTAGTCTGGATCTTTTGCCAGCTATACTGCCTTCAACAACTAACATTCATTTTTTTAATACCTCTTCTTTCTCTACCAGAGTATTACAGTCTCCATTATTTGCTGAGTGTTCAGATAGAGCACACTACACAATGTGAATACGATAGAGATAATGATCAATAGATTTATCAATTATTAATTTTCCCGGATTTGGACCATTTTATGTTTGGGCTACCCCTGTGAGGATTCATTTTAACCCCGAGAGATGGGCGCAGTAAGTCAAGTACTCAACTTATCCAAAGCTGAATCGTAAATTCACGTTTCACCTCTGAGCACGTTAAGTAGGTACTTAAGTTATTTAAACCCAAATGTAAACCCAACCACTGTTTGGTTTTGCGGTTAGTTACGCAAGTACTCCAAAATAAGTAATCTAACCCACATTTCTGCATCAAACAGTCAAAATTTTACCTTACGGCTTTTCTTAACTGGATTACTTGCATTTTAGGTTCACTAAAGACGGACTGATTAGTCCAAAAACATTCTGAACTTTATTAAAATCCATTAATATTTTTTAATTTAATTTTTTAATTAGATCACTTACGTTTTCACTCCGATATTCGCGTTTTTAAACTAATATGGTATATATCCAACTCCTGGGAATCATCCCATTTTAAGTAAATAAATTAAATTCGGAAAGAGGTTCAAGAATAACTACAAGCTTCTTTACAAATAATGCTATATTCCACTACAACTCGAATCAAATATAATTAGATTGCACTAAAAAAGTTAACACACAAAAGGAAATAATACAAAGATTCGTTAATTTTATTGAATGTAACAGATACAGCAAACACATGATAGTTTTAAACTTAATGTCTACAATTCTCCTTTTCTCTTTCAGTCGTCTCATAATAAAATATTATGATGTTAGAGAATATTCTACAATACGGCTATGGCCTTTAAAAAACCTCTCTATCATCAAAGAATTATTCGTAATTTGTTAGTGCAAATGTAAAGCAGGCCTTTAAATGTTTTTAAATACAATTTTAATATGGTATTACTCGTTAAGACTAGGCATGACTTCCGAAATTTTTCCCATCTCCTCAGAGAGCAGACAGAGAAACTATTCAGAGATAAAGACATAGATAAATGACTGGACTTGACTACCTGATTTTTAAATGTGGTTTACAGGTCGTAAACATTCCTAGTTTTGTCAAAGTGTGTAGAAGAGAAAAGTCACATTAAGTATACATTTGAAAAATATTAATAGCACAGTCTTTATTAAACAGCTTTGGTATTCTTAATGTTTATTTTCATACCAAATTGCTCGCAGATCAAGTTGGTCCTCTCGAATCGTTGTAGACCCAAGTCGGAATCCTCCAGTGCCGCTTTAAATACAAACTCGGAATAAAGATTAAATAGCAAGGGTGACAAAACACATCTTTGCCTAACTTCTCTCCTAATTTCTTCAACTGCGGACGTAGAACCTTCGATCCTAACTCTGGCGTTTTGGTTCCAGAACAAGTTTTTAGCACTTTGATGTTCTTCCCATCTAAACCCACTTCTGGCAAACGTTCTAATAGTCGGTGATGTCTTACTCTATCAAATGCTTTTTCGAAGTCTGTGAAGCATATGAATATCTCTTTCTGTTTGTCGTAGCATTTTTGGACCAGAACTAGTAAACTGAACAGGACTTCTCTCGTACCCATGATGGCTCTCAATCCAAACTGATCGTCTCCGATGATTGTTTCGCACTTTTTATAGATTCGGTTATGTACGACTTTTAATAGAACTTGGAGTGAATATTGGTTTTAGCCAGTCTTGGGGTATTTTTCCTCTATCATAAATACGATTGAATAAAAGAACAAATATTTTTTGTTTTCTTTGTCAAATGTTTTCTTCGCAGCTTAATCTCAACGTTTTTGGGTATATTCCATCTGGACCTGGGCTCTTATTTGTTTTGAGTTGATTAATGGCATTTATAATTTCGGTTTTCAGAATTTCTGGCCCTTCGTTGTTGTTGTCCATTATTCTTGGCTCTTATAGTATGCCGTTAAAAATTGTTTGATAAAGTTATCCCATTCATCAGTAAAACTTATGGGCAACATAAAACTGGTAACTACAAAATGAGAGATGAAATCAGCAGGTAATTTATTGGGGACCATAATAATAAAAATGGGAAGAGGAGTGGGAAGAGAAACACAAAAATAAGGCATGATAGGTATGTA